ATATATATATATATATTACATACAACATATATATTTGAGTAATGATCCAATGCAACGGTTGTATCATAATATAATGCAACGACACTTCTAGAAAACTATGTTTGTGGTATTTGTGTGACCCCAATTTTGCACATACACTTTCTCAATAATCAATCCCAAAAAAAAAAAGCGTTCACTTTGGACCCTAGATATGTTCAAAATGAGTCACCTCAAAAAATAAATCTAGACCATTCATTTTATGAATTTCAATATCTTAGCCTTTATAACTCAAAATCATTTTTTTTCTTTTTTAACATTGTACATCTAATGATAATAAAGCCATTCAAAAAAATTGGAAATGAAAAAATCATTCTAAGGCCTAGATCTAAGCTTCTCACCAAAATGAACGGCCTATGTTAATTGGGCTAAAAAAATACTTTCTAGGTTGTGTTTTCAATTTTTTTTTTTGTGATTGTTCATTAGAATGAAAAGAATGTATATTTCAAAATTTGGATCAAAGAAATAGCCATAAGATGGTTTTTTAAGGTTGTTGCATCATATTACTATACAACTGTTGCATGAAATCATTGGACTACATATTTAATATAGTATATTTATATATTATAGGAAAAAATTTTAATATAACGTTGCAACCTTAAAATGTAGAATTACAGATGCACATCAATAATCCATCGAAAAAAGTTGTTTTGATGTTTAAAAACCTTCTAATTGATCATCTCGATATCAAACTGTATGAATATAAAAATAAACTAAAATTTGAGTCGCATATATAGTGCATCTTGCTACATATTATCTAGACCGTCCATTTTCAAGATTTTCATATGTTTATAGATCTACTTGATTTTAGCTATTTTTGGATTTTGTGGAGTTTAAATTTTTATAATTAGATATGAAAATAGATTCTCAGATAATCCTAAAAGAAATTACATCAAAATTACATGTTATGATAAAATTTAGAGGTGCGCCTTAATTGGATTGTTTAAGATTGCAGCCTTATAGAAACCACACCCTGTAATATAATAATATAAATATTATATAAATATAATATATATTTATATAATATATATTTATATAACATAATAAATATATATTATATATCATATATAATATAATAATATAAAGATTACATACAATATATATTTAATATAATAAATATATATTATATTTATATATTATATAATATAATAATATAAATATTAAATATTATATTATATTAGATTGTATTATATATTATTTATTATATATTTATTATCAATAATCAATCCCCAAAAAAAGAGGTTCAATTTGAACTCTAGTTGTAGTCAAAATGAATCCTCTCCAACAACGAATCTAGACCATTCATGAGATAAAAAATACTTTATGGATTATATTTTCAAAATTTTCTCTTTTGTGATTGTTCAATAAAATAAAAAGAATGTGTATTTTAAAATATGCATTCGTATTTTTAGAGGTAACGTGCACCTTCAAACTTTATCATGGTATATAAAATGTTCTTAGGATTATCTCAAAATCTATTTTTATATCTAATTATAAAATTTTAAATTTAAAAAAGGGAAAACTTTCTATGTTCCCTTACAACATAGAAGTACTATTCTTCCCCTTATCCAACCGTCCATTTTTGAATGGAGGGCTAAGATTGCCCCAATCATAATGTCACGTCTCTATACTATTTTATTTTAAATTTTTTTCTATAAACTATTTTGACACCAAATTTTGGACGTCCATTCCTCTATTAAACTCGTACTAACGAAAAATATAAAAAAAAATTTCCAAGAAAATAAAATGGCCAAAATACCTTTGAAAGTTTTAAGGGTATTTTGGTCATTATTTTTTATCGAAAAATTATTGTTAATATTTTTTATAGGTGCGCTCCAATGAGAAGATGGCACGTACCAAATTTCATATTCAAAAAATTTGTATTAAAAAAAACTAAAAATAAAATACTTTGAAACGTCAGATCTAAGGTCAAACAGTGAGTGGCCCTCTTGATAAAAATGGACGGCTGGATAGTAGGGAGAGGATAGAACTTTTATGTTTTAGGGGGAACATAAAAAGCTTTCCCTTTAAAAAATGGTTAAAATCAAGTAGATCTATAAACATATGAAAATCTTTAAAATGGACGGTGCGGATAATAACTTGTAAAATACCCTATTTCTTAAACTTAAAATCTTTTTATTTTTCATGGTCATACATCTCAATGTTGGGATGATCAATCAAAGGGTTTTCAATATTAAAACTACCTTTTTCGATAGATTTTTGAGGTATATTTGTAGTTCTATATTATAAGGTTGCATCTTGATATAAACTTTTTCTTTTAAACTATGAATCAAACGAATAACCTTTACATAATTTTTGAAGATTATCGTATTATATTATACAATCGTCGCATGAAATCATTGTCCATATCGACCCATGGGCCGATCCAAACTTAACTCCAACGGTTCGACGCGGATTAGAGTGCGAATGATCTGCCCCACCAATTCGGGCAGAAACAGTGTATTGACTTATTACAAGTCCCACCAAGACATTTAAGTTGTTGTCACATTTAATACGATTGCGCTTCTCAAGAACAAGTGGCAATGACCCTAACGAGCATAATTGTGGTAGAACCTCGAAGACCGTGCCACGGCGTCTTTACCCTCCCTATAAATGGATTTTGGATTTTGGATTTCGGATTTCCATTTCTTCTTTTGAGCTTTAGCCGCAGTTGAGTTGGGGTACGTACTACCAAATTAAGAAATTTGTTTGGCCTTTTTTTCTTTTTTTTTCAAAAAGAAATAGAGTGCCATTTATAATTGGAAAAAGTTTTATGAAAAAAATTTATATAGAGTTGTGGCTCTAAACAATCAAATCAGATACCACCTCAAAAATTTCACTAGAAGAGGTTGGTTTGGTGCCCAAATTTCTTCAAATTGATCATCTCAACATGAAAATGCATGGAGATAGTGCATCTTGTAATACATTTTTGTAGGAGTGAGAATTGACTCGATCCGAATTTGAAACCCGGATTTCAGATCCTAGTATAGACCCAAAATTTGGATCTCGGTGCAGGTGGATCCAATTCGGATCCGACCCAGATCCAGATCCAACCTAGTTGTTTTAAGTACTAAATTTTTATTGTATGTATATAATTTTTTTAAAATAGTATATATATAATTGGATCCGGATCCGATCTATACTGGTTGGATATGGCCCCGATCCGACCCGTTCTCACCCCTTACATTCTTGGACCATCAATTTTCAAGATTTTCAAATTCTCAAATATCTATTCGAACTACACTATTTTTTAAGCTTTAAATTTTATAATTAAAGATGAAAATATATTTAAGGCTATCACAAAGATTTCCAGTATTGAAACCACATTTCTCGGCATTATTTGAAGGTGCACTTTACTTTATTAGTTTGGAGCCTCAGCTCTATGCAAACCACATCCTTTATTTATTGACTAGCCGTAGAACATAAAAAAAAAAAATGCCCTATTTCTCTTCTTTCCTCGCTCCATTTTTCACACACGTATAGTATCATTCATTTCCAAAAACACGTCTTAGTGTTTGAACATAAACATGAAGAAGAAAAAAAAAACATGTAAAGTATCAGACCCCTTCTCCCTAAGCCCACATGCTGGTGCGGACAACCTGGTACACGAGGCCCGTGCAGCTTGGTGCTTATGGTAAAAGGTGACCTGTTACGAATGGCAGGTGTGTGAAATGTTGTATAGTGTGGCTAGTGTGAGGAGCAGGCCGACTAGCGCAACATGGTGCATGATGTACAGGTAGCCTAAGGCGTGGGATGCTAGGTACTGTGGCTAGTGCGAGGAGCACGCCGACTAATGCGGCATGATGCATGATGTGGGGCAGCCTTGTGCATGCGATGAAGGTAGCCTGATGCAGGCAGTTTTGTGCATGTGATGCTGCAAGATGGTGCGGCTAGTGCATAGAGCAGGCCTGCTAATGCAGCGTGATGAGTGTGGATTGATCAAGGGATGTTGCAGTGTCTTGATGGCTGAGGGTCGGGTAACCCCGTAGTGCATCAGGCAGCACATATGGCTGAGGGTCGGGTAACCCCTTAGTGCATCAGGCAGTACATATGCCATTTGGGCAAGACAGAGCTATAACACATGATGATCATGTTCTTTAAGCTTACTCCCTTAGTTGAGAGGAGTGTGACACCCTCTAGCGTGAGGGGTCATGGTGTGCAGCACTGGTGCATGGTGCAAGCACAGGCAGATGGTGGCTAAAGACCCTTGGCTGAAGCCTTGGCAGAAGACAAGTAGGTTGGGGGTTTGATGGTAGCTTGACCTGATGGGACATGATCAAGTGGACCATGTGCAAGAGGCGAGCTGTGTATGCTGTGCAGGCTGCATGAGGGGTCGTGGTGAGCAGCACTGGTGCATGGGCTAATGTAACGGCAATTGGCCTTAATGCGTGAGTGGGTGGTGCATGTGGGTGATGAGCCTTGTAACCGTCATCATGCAGGTGCAGGTGGCTAGTCAACCCACAGGGTAGTGTGGTGACTCGGTATGTCACCGACTTTGTCCACTCTGGATTGAGGGAGTGGGGAAGGTGGGCATAACGGCCACCATGAGCTTGGGTGCATGAGCAGTTAATATGTGTAATTAACCCATGTGGTGAGCTGTCAGGTGGCCCATCCAGGGTGCATGATAGGCAGGTGGCCTTCATGGTAGAGGCATGATGGTTATGGCAGTGTGCCACTTGAATTTCGAATGTATTATTGCGGCTATAAGTACCCTTTGCCCGACTCAGAGTGAGAGAACCGTCACTGTATTCACAAACCAATTATATGGTGAAAGATACTGGGCTGAGGCCCTTAGTATCATTTGCTTGTGTGTGCCTTGTGGTGTGGCTTGACTCTAACTCTATTCTCTATTGCGTGGTGTGTGTAGCCTCTGGACTAATGCTTGGTGCCGCACGTGGTGTACTCAAAGGGGCTACCCCGTGACATCAAATATCATGTAAAGTTTCATTCCCATGAAAACGCGTAAAGTATCATTCTTTTCCGTAAAAAGAAAACTCTGGAGTTTTCGTTTAATCTATCCATGGAGTGATCGTACAAGACAACTATGCAATAGGTGGTGCATATGCATAAATCTCAATTTGAACAATTGCTTTCTGTTTTAATTATTTGCAAATATACTGTAAACCTTTGCATTCTCCACTATTAACTGAACAGCCGCTACAGTTGTTAGTATGGTTATAATAGAGAAGCCTACTATATTGATCCAGTGCCATGCTTTCACCACATTATTTGCAGTATTTCCTCAAACCTGCAATCAAATACATGTCAAAGCTTTTTAATGGAGTAAAATGTATGACTTCAGCTTAAAAGACCATCATCTCTGTGTCAGTGATTGATAAGGAGAGGTTAGCAATGGTGGGTTTCGTACCTTCAAGAAGATCATGCTTAGGAAGACAAACGTGAGGGGGAAGAGCGACAGAGAACCCATGAAGTTCACAAAATCTCCCAAGAAAGGAATCAGGGCAGCCACAAATGTGTTCAGAGTGAACAAGCCGGCACGCAATAAGAAGAGGATCTTGATGTTATCTCTTGAATGCATACTTCGACCTAAGTGTAAGAATCTTGTATCAAGAGCCTCATGTACTGGTGTACAAAACATCTGATAAAAATTCGTTGGAAAGCAGTGTTAAAATGACCATTGAAGCTAATAGATTAAGTACAAGTGTGTGTGCGTTTGAGAGAGAGAGCGAGAGACTCACATGTTGTGATATGATTGTTTGCAAGAAGACAGTAGTATTCCCAATTACAACAGCCCACTTGGGTCCACTGAAATTGTTGGGGAGATACTCAGAGACTTTAGAACCATATGCCCAATATCCTATAATGGTCACAGCATAGTATATTGACAGACCTAAAGTGTATTGCATATAATGCCTTTCTCATGTTTTTCACAACAGGCTTTCGCAGTGTAGACTACATAATAAACCAATAACGAAATCGATTTGATTAGTAATTGGAGAAAGGCAATTGCTGATGAAACTACTGAATCCCCTGTCTTTTTGGTAGTGAAGAAACTAAACCTGAATTTCAGGAAGCATGCCCGATGTGTTAGTAGAAAGAATCGCTGAAAATGCATTGAATGCATTGAAAGCTTTCTCTATACTTGACCCCTGGACGTCATATCTCTTACTCACACTAGATTTCCCTGTAAAGGGTTATCTTCATGAGTGAGCACTAATCTTCTTGTACTTTGCTATGGATATTAATGCACAATATATTATTTGGTTCTCTATCAAGGATATGTTACCATCATTTATGGAGATTGCCATTACAATCACTACATATGCTAAGAGTGAGGATGCTTGAGACTCCAAACCAGTGCCTCATGGCTGACATATTTGGAATCATGAAAGCAGATAAAAAATAGATAGCCCCAGTTATGATGATGTAGATTTGAAGTCTCAGAGTGGAGAGACTAAACTCAGCATGGATCGCCTGTTCAATTCTCAAAAGTAAAAACTATTAGCTATTGCAAGATTAATATCTGAAATTTATTAATGAAATTTGCCCAATTTAAAAAATGGATACTTACAAGTTTACCTTTTAGATACTTATTCTAAAAAAAACCAAGTTTACCTTTAAAGATCTTCCTGCTAGTAGGATAAAACCCATGTTTCCAAGGAGAAAAGTTAGAAATTGCAGAGCCCAGGTGATCTGATACATTCTTGTTCCTGTAAAGAATGAATCATAAAAGATAATTGCACATGAGAAGTTTAATCATGTCATTTGGAAGTCAGTAATGTATTTTAAGGAAAATATGTTGGTAAATTCATTGAAATTCATTATTGAAAAAATATCACCTTAGATCCTATTATTAGATTTCATTTCTCCATAGATCCCAAGTTTTAAAATGTATTTTTTGCCATAGAAATTCTACTTATTATATCTTTTAACCTCTTTGGATAAAAATGGGTAAGATGTATTTTTTGCTATAGAAATTCTACTTATTATATCTTTTAACCTCTTTGGATAAAAATGGGTAAGATGGGTCTAGAAGGTTAGAAGATATAATAGATAGAGCCTTTATGCTAAAAACCTTAGGTCAAATGAAACTTATAAATAGAGTTACACGTATATTTTCCCTTCATTTTTTAATCAGTGAAAAATGGTCTAGACATACCAAATAGACCAAATAAGTAGCCCATCATATCCCTGTATCTTATGAACCTCTGTCCATCGATTACCTGAAACCCAGCCAAGAGCCAATTTGCATACAGAGCCAAGAATCCTATAACGAACATGGCGATAAGCCCCCATGTCCATCCCAAAGGCTTTAGAATAAGATTAGAAAAGCTCAATATGTAACAACAGTTGAAGCTTGTAACAAGCAGCAGCCCTACTTGTATCCATGTATCTGTCAATAAATATAGATTGGTGAACCTTTAGTATTTGAAAGGCCTAATCTTGTGCTTAGATGACATTCGGGTTCAAGCAAAAAGCTATGATGGCTTTTTAACTCAGCCAGGTGAATTGGGTCATATGTCATATATCCCCAAAACAAAGCAAGTAAAAATAACTAAGATTGCTTTCCCAAAAAAAAACGAAAAGGAAAAACTAAAATATTCCAAGAAATGATATACTATTTCTGCAAATATTTTCCACTCTGCATCTTTTTAAACTACAAAATCCATGAGTCAAGAGGATTTTACTAAAATCATTCTCTTGACTCATGGATTTTGTAGTTTTTGGACAAGTGCAAACTCAGATCTAGCAAGTGTCCGAACAAACAAGGCCCAGTTGAAATCTCCAATGAAACTTTTATCTGATAACTGATAGAGCTTGGGAGTATTTATCATAAGGGAGAAAATCACAGTCCATAGCTATTCTGGCAAACAAGATTTAGGAGTTCAATTGTTAACAGTAGTTACTTCAGGGCACAAAAACTGAAAGGAGGCCCAAGACCATTACAAGAAACCAAAAAAAGAAAGAAGACCAGCAGATTTCTAGATAGGAAGCTCTCATTTCAAGCTGGTTTACCACTACACTGATGATAACAGCCAAAAACAAAATGAAAACAGGAAGCTTGAAGAAAAAAGAGTGAAACAGAACAAATAACATGATCAATTGTATGAGCAGTGCTTAACCCTGGTTCAATACTAAGTGCCTTTGGACTTCTCTCTTCTGCAGCTCTTCCATCCCCTACTTCTCCAACAACTGAAACTAGAGAAAGAGAAGGGGGGGCAACAGAGAAAGAGAGATAAATAATGCACCAGGTAGTGGGGAGATTTATAAGTGGGTAATGGGGACAGTGGAATGAGGATCACTGGAGAGAGAGAAACTCTGAAATCAATCTTACGACTAATTGGTGGTTTGTTACCGGTGAATTTGTCCTCTAAGGATCTGCAACGTGGAGGGGTGGTTCTATTTTCATATGAGATTTTTGTAAGGCCTAGGCTTTAAGAAAACAAAATAAAGCCTTACCTCAAATTCTCCGGAAAGCACATTTACAAAAGAAATCTCAATGATAGCTCTAAAATCAATTTTTAACACCAACAATAAAATTTGAAACTAAAAAACTTGATAGATCTTGTGGATATATGGACATTTATTTTTCAAATGAAATTGACAGTTTAGATAATTTGTTTCAATATAACTATTTCGGTCTATATAATCTGTTTCAATATAACTATTTTTAGAGCTCGAAACGTGAATTTTTTTTCACAACCATAATGTTCAAATCAAGTTGATCGATGTAAAGATTTTCTGATCGCTTAAATTGTGTTTTTCGATGAGTTATGAGGTGAGGCTTTATTTACCTTGATAGACCGTTTTCCTATTCTAAATGCCGAAATTTTATCCAAATTTTTAGCCCCAAAAGTTCCCCATGATAGATTTCACCCGAAATTTGTGGGATATTTCAGAAGATGGGGAACGGTGCAATGCGCCAGGAAAATCTTCTCCGTCCATCTACCTTGCAATGGGCTAGATCTCCACCGTTAAATTGGGTAATGCTATGGTTTAACCAGGGTTATTTTCACCGAAGTCTTACATGGAAAGGTTTTATTGTTTGTGGGGTTAGTTTGGTCTTTCACCAAAAATCAGGGTTTTATTTTTCATTCGACGAGTGTTTGGAAAGTCGGTTTCGGCCCATTCTTGGCCTTTAAATGGCCATGCTACGTCACGTGACCGACCGTGAGGTCTGGCTCGTCTGTACCATATTAATATTAAAAAGTTTCTAAGGAAAAATGTCCTTTAATCCCCTCTTTGAAATTTCTTGTCGGGGTTAACCAAAATCATTTGTACCTCTTCAAGTTTTAAATTTTTGGGTCATTAGCTCTTTAATTATGTTTTTTTTTTTGTTTTTTTTTACAAATTTGATCTCTTTGATTTACAAAATGCCAAACCCATTAGTCATCTCCATTTTTTTTTGTGACTTGATATACAAATGTTATTGATAATAATAATTTATAATTATTATAATTAATTAATAATTATAATAATAACAATAACAACAATTATATACTAATTGTTAAATATTTCATCTTTCATAGGTATTTTGATAAAGTTTTTATTAAATGAATAAATAAATAATAACCGTTAACAATAGTAACAAATATCTTGATTAATTATTTTTCAAGTCCAAACGACATCAATATAATTGTAAAATAGGTCATAATGTTAAAGAATTTTTTTTTTTTTTTCATGTCTAAATTTATAGTGTGAGATCCACAGAGGTGAGATTGGTTTTAGGCAATGGCAAAGAAAGGAAAGGGAACATTTTGAAAAATAAAAAGATCAAATTTGTAAAAAAAAACAAAAAAAAACACAATTAGGGGGCTAACAATACCAACATTTTAAATTTGGTGGGATACAAGAGATTTTGGTGAACCCAAAGGGATAATAAAGATGAAAGTTTCAGGGAAGGGTAAAGGTCATTTTCCCAAGAAATTAGGAGTGGTTCATTATGTATTTTCATTAGTTTGTAAAAATAGGTGAATACTAAGACATTTTCTTGTATACATGTCAATATATTTATTAATGATAATATAATATTATAATATTGCATCAAAATAATTTAAAATATTAGAAAATACTTCCATATTATAAGATTAACAAAACAATTTTCTATATAAAGTGAAATTAGTGTTACATCAAAGTATCAAACGTTTATTAATTCGCTTTACTCATCCAAAATTATCACAATCAAACTAAGTATAATATTATATACTGAAAGTAAATTTATATTTTTATATTTTATAGTTATTTTACTATACAAATAATAACAAATCTAAAATGTCTTATAATACAATCAATTTTTAAAAAATCTTATTTACGGCTACAAGAAAAAATAATATATTATATAATTTATAATAAAAATAAATTAATCAATAAAATACAACATTTGGTTATCAATGTATAACTATTAATTATAATATTATAATAAACATGATTAAAATTATTTAAAAAATGTTTTATATCATATAATTAAAAACAAAAATAAAACCCCCATAAATTTTAAGGAAAATATCTTCTTACACACTCTTTTCAAACCCCCGGACCAACTTTAGCCCAAACAAAAGTTTAAAAGACATCATTTTTCTATTCCTTTCTAAACCCCCTTCTCTCTCTTCCCATGTTTCTATCCGAACCTCTCTCCTTTTTTTTTTTTAAANATTGAAAAAAAAATCTAGTCGTTGGGAGGCTAAGGCANACAGGGGATAGG